GCCTGTGAGATAGTGAATCGGGTGGTTTTTCGAGGATTTGGCCTTTTCAGTCTGCCCTAAGGACAGTAGTAAAGCAGTAGTGTCTTCCATAAGAGTGAAAGTCGCCCTATTTCGTCCAAGTGGATAAAGGACTATCGGCTGAATTTTACCACAATCACATAAGCAGGCCGCAATTTCGCATAGCCTTGCTTCCCATAAAGTAGTCTCATCCTTGCTGGAGTGGGCGGCAGTTTCGAACGTCTCATCAGCACCCCTAGACGGATTCGAATCCGAGTAGTACAGCAAGGGGAAGCAGGCTAAGCGAAATTCAGTGGAAAAGGTGAATTTTACTCACGTCGTGGTGGGAGAATCCACCTATCTGTACCTCGTCACCTTTACGAATTACACTGAATGCATATAATATATGATCTATTGGTAGGCTCGGTTTAGGGCTTTTTAAGAAAGTGCATCTGTATGTGTGTCTATCCGACGCTCGTACACCTGCGTTGGAGCAGTCGTGTGGGCATTCGTGCCTGGCCGGCACATGCGGGCGCCTTGAACGGGGTTCTGCCTCATATTTACGACCAACTGTACCTATGACGCAAGAAAGGGCCCGTATTTTTTTGAGGCCGGAACCAAGAGGTTACGGTTAGGCCACAGTCACACGCGAGCATACAGATATATTGACGCCTTTGAGGGTGATCATACATGCATGTGTGTAGGAAATCACATGCGCATGTGACGACGGGTTGAGATGGTTTGTGAAAGGTGCTTTTTATTGGCTGGCTGGTTAAATAGCCACAAACACATACAAACGATGCAGATATCGTAAAGTGTGCCAAAAATGGGGGATACCTGAAGACGGAAGACTCACTTTCCAACGTCTCATGCGTTGATTTGTGGTACAGCGAAGCAGGATGCGTGGCAATCCGTATGAAATACCGCAGCAGTTGACTGGAGACAATGTTTTCCTCCAGCCAGGGCCGAAAGGATACCATCACATGCGCCCACTGGCTACGTGTGCAGCGACTGCTTGTGCGGATTAAGCCAGCTTGAGGGTCAGTTGTGCTTGCTGGAGTGGGTTGTGACTCCACTGGCCGAGTCGAGGCCGGTCGCCACACCACATACCATAATTGCGTGTGAGCACCCCATCCCCCTCCTCGCCCACACACCTACACATGCATTCACATGTAGAGACACTCGTGCCTATGCATCTTATCTGCTGTGACTGCCACCTGCCGGAAGCGGTCTCGAATTTACGAGAAGAGGGCTTTGGTAGCTTAAAACTTGCTCCTGTAGCCAATAGAAGATGGCGAACCATGCGAGGTTCCTCTTTTAACTCATTACATCATCAGCTTCTCCTTAGTAATCTGTCCCGTGACTGTAGGGTCCGGCTGCCGCATCGAGGCATCGATGGTTGTGTGTACAGATATACCTTTTTTTCGATTTTCTCAGCTGTCCTGTGCTGTGTATGTGTGTGTGTGTGTGTGTGTATGCGTGTGTGTGTGTGTGTGTGAGTGTGTGTGTGAGTGAGTGTTTAATGACTCACGAGAATGCAGACTTGTACATGAGCGTTAGTTGCATTTTTAATTCGGTTCATTCGGGTTCATCCTCTTTTTCTTTACATGAATAAAGTGGGCTGAAAGTGAGGCAGCATGTTGTGTTTGGTACAATGGCGATCAACATGGCACTGGGAGATACATGTGGTGGGTGTATTGTGCCCGGATCGGCAGCGATGGCAACGGAGCATCAGAAGATAGGGTCGAGACGATAGCTGCATGTAGCTCCATGCCAATTTCGCGAGTAGGCATATGCTACAATGACGGCAAAACAGTAAAGTTGTAACACAGGCAGGAGTAAGAAGGCGTGGAAATGTGAAAAGGTGGAGTTCTCTGTGTGTGTATGGGTGGGTGGGTGTGTTTATGTGTGCGGAGGTGGGCCGAGGAGGGGAGTTAGTTTACAATTGGCTGAGATAGGGCCGGTGTGGGAAAACGGCGAGAGGCGAGAAAATCAGGTCACATCGTCCCGACCACTCCTTTTAAGCTCATTTCACAAGTCACTCTCTTCACACTTCACCGTCGTCTAGTGTTGTAATTCTCTCTACAAGTTGCCTGTCGCCCGGTTCCTATAGCGGTCGCCTGAGATCGAGGGTCAAACCTGGAATAGTCTGTGCACCGTGGAGACACGGTACTGCACGAGCTGACGACACTTTGCAGGGGGGAAGCAGAAACAGACTCATAAAGTTATGAAACACATACGTAGACAAATGGAGGGAGCGATGCAACGATATGTGGCAAATGAAGAAATATAAAAAGATGGACTGCGAGATAGTAAAGCAGGATAGGCTTGATAGCAAAAATATGAAGAAGAAAACAGGTGAGAAAATGGAAACTACAGAGCATACTTGAAGGAGTATGAAATGCGAGTCCCTGAAAAGGTAGTTTGTTCTGGAGGTTAGTGATTCAGAGTGTACAGATAAAGAGAGTATATAGTGCCGGAGTTGCTTGAACAACGTACGTGAGAGCGATACGGTTAAACTTATGGCATTGATGTGCACTTGCAAAGTGAGTCGTCATTGTAGGATGGATTTTATCACCATTCTGAGGAATAGAAGTTATA